GGGCGGGGACGCGGGGCTGAGCCGCTTGCTAGTGAAACGTAAAGAAGGCCGAAACGAAGCTGTTTTTCAATAAGCTGCTTTTTATTGTTCTTCCTTAGGGAAAATCCAGACAGGCTTCCTTCGGGAGGTGGCTGAGAGGGAGCGGAGCGAGCAGAGCCTGGTCTTTCCGCTCCAGTCCAGTCTCGGTATTTTTGCCCTTGTCCCGTAGAGGTTTTCGTCTTCTCTCCTTTTCTGTAATTTCACTTAACACATCAAGTCAAGTTGAAAATGCTTGGGTTAAGGTAGTCTACTTCCTTGTCGTGACCACAGTACGTTTCTCTGTAACTGAAGACACAGGATCATTAAAAGAGCTGAACGTTCTACATGGCTGGCCTCTTACACTTGCATGTAGGAGGACCCTGTACAACTAAAATCTGTGGTGACTCTTGCATTTGGCAGCTGTTTTTGACAGTGTCTGCTCTACCGTCAAGCCATACGAAAGGGATAGCCCTTCATTTTGCCTTGCCATGAAAAAGATCTGGCGTTTGTTTTTTAAACCAGGAGGTGATTATTTTTTTAAGGAATTACCTTTCATCCCGTGAGGGAGTTCAGTAAAGCAAAGACTACATGCGTTCTGGCCAGTTCTGTGGAAGAACTTCATGATTATTTGGTATTTAGAGGAAGGTGCCTAGGTGTTGCTGTCATGACAAACCTCTGTTCTGAAATTCTATGAACAATCTGTTCCTCCTGTTATAAGTACACTTTATCTTACAGAACTTGAAAAGCATTAACCCTTTCAAAGATGATGGCTTTGTTTTGAGGTCTCTTTCATTCTGTATCTTTCAGTACTGGGGCCACATTGTTTTTGCTTGTCTGTTGAGAGCAGGACAGGTTTTGCTTTTTACTTTGGTAAGGGGAAACAAATCTTTCATTTTACCACAAGAAGTTGGGATAACATTTGACATACTTCCAGAAGCTGCTGTAGGAGGCTGCAGAGTAATAAGAGTATGTATATAAAACATGTTTGTATAGTGGAAGCATGGCAGTATTCTACTAAAGCAAAGTACTTTAAGACAACTGAAACAAATAGAAGCATAGAATTGTTTAGGTTGGAAAAGACCTTTAAGATCATCAAGTCCAACCGTTAACCTAGCACTGCCAAGTCCACCCCTAAACCATGTCCCTAAGCACCACATCTACACGTCTTTTAAATACCTCCAGGGATGGTGACTC